TGCTTTCTTTGAATGCAAACCATGTCTTCCAAAAAGAGGTAGTTTGTTGAGAATTAGTTTTCAATCTGATTTTAATAGTGTCAGGATTTTTTTCTTTGAGATTATAGTTAATAAACAGAAAGTCATCAATTTATTAAAGATATGCTTTATTGGAAGGTAAAAATATCCAGTCAAGGAAGGTAATCTGTGAGCACATTGGATAAATATGGTTTAAGCTTTCTGTAAAAGGGGAAGTGCACAATATTACCAAGCTACTCAATAACACGAAGATATCCAAGGAAAATAGTATTACAATGCAAATCAATTTTTAATAGTGGTTAAAAGTAATAACCTACAGCCTCCCATGCTTTATGCAACAGTGACCCTGATTTAATAGCAAGTTTTAAATAACTATATTATTGCCCATGAAAGGAACTAACATTTTACAAATCAATACAGTGGGGAGTCAGAGGAAACAATCACATTAATTCAGAGATCTATGAGGACATTAGAAAGGACTCTGTAGGTCAGTCTAATGTTCTGTCCTCTTTTCTCGCATATTTCTCTATATCTAAAGCCTATAAAAAGGTATTTTTTCTTAGTGAAATTGAGTTTCAACAAAGCTTTAGATATCCTTGATCTAGTCTGTCACAGCAGAAATGTTTAAGTATAGTAACATAGTCTCGCAAACTAAAATTCCATTGCTGTTTGAGATGGAACTGTTTGAGTTCACTTCTGACTCAATCAACAATGTTACTCTAACTGAAATTGTGTAGAAGCAGTATTTCCATCTAAGATATATTTTTAAATAGCAATATGAATTCTCTTGTACTGTAATATAAAAACATATTTGGGTGCCTATGGAACATCTAAAGTGGACTATACACAGTTCCAGTTACTGCTCCTTAAAGTAGTAGTCCACAGGCATTACATTTTTGTACATTAGCTTTCAAATGTTATTTATACTTTATTCTGGCAAATTTAAAATTTAAAGCAATAATTCTGAAACAGAATACCTATAAATGTAATCCTTTAGGAATGTAAAACTGTAGTTTTTCTTAGCCAAGTAAATACTTCAATAATCATCTTTTTGTTCTAGCCTTGGCTGACCATGACTACTAAGGGCCATGATCCATTGGATTGTAAATTAAGTGCTACTGTAACTCAGGGCTACTGTAACTGAAAATAAGGAAAAGCAAATATTCCTTAAAGAGGACTTTGTCCCGCACCTAGTCTGTGCAACAAAGCAATTGAGTAGCAGGGTCTTGAAGAACTATTTTAATTCTAAGTTGAAGTGCCTAAAAGGGTATTATAAGGAGGAGGGAGAAAAATTGTTCTCCCTAATCTCTGATTATAGGACAAGAAGCAATGGGCTTAAATTGCAGCAAGAGAAGTTTAGGTTGGACATTAGGAAAAATTTCCTAACTGTCAGGGTGATTAAACCCTGGAATAAATTGCCCAGGGAGGTTGAGGAATCTCCATCATTGGAGATATTTAAGAGTGGGTTAGCTAGACATCTAACAGAGATGATCTAGATGGTGCTTGGTCCTGCCGTGAGGGCAGGGACTAGACTTGATGACCTCTCAAGGTCCCTTCCAGTTCTAGTACGCTATGATTCTATATACAGTACTTTATAAAGAATTGATACAAACTGGGAATTCAGGTTGGAATCAATACTTTCATGTTAAATTTTTGTTTTGGTATGATGGTCTGGATTCTCCTTCTATCTTTGCCACACATTGTAACCTGGGGCAAGATTAATCTTTTTCTAACTCTTTTTCACTTTCTGTAATATGAGGATAACAACATTATCCTGCCTCACAAGTGTGAAGACATTCTACTCTGAGTTATGCATCAGAATTTGTACTTCTGCTAGTTACTTTTTTTTTTGGTGTGAAATTATTCAAGAGATTCAGTAGACTAGATTTTGGTATCAAGAAATTGAGTTTTTCTATCCAATGAAGGGAGAATTATTCCAGTGTGATTTTGTCAATATATACTTTATCATGAATTTAGAGATAGCAAAGTCTCATGTACAGTGGTTGAGTCTTGCTGGAATGCTCTGGGGTACTGTTCTAGCACTTTTCTAGGAAGAGGGAATGGCGCACTATAGCATGTGATACAGCATTTCTAGAGTGAAGCACTCATCCACTGCTCATTTGGTCACATCATCCATTTCTTCCAATCCTAATCTTCTATGATTCTATGATCTTGTTGCCAGCTCAGGAAAACTCCCTGCAGCATATTCTCAAATGTTTGATCCATTCCCAGTCTATATGATCAATGCAATGGGGCTTTCTTTACTTCCCTTGAAAGACAACAAAGGGTTGTCACAGCTTTTGCTCTTAGGAAATTTTTCCTCATCTTCTTCCTAAATTTTCTATTTTTAATTGAATAGTATCACTTGTAGGAGTAGCTTTGTTGGACAGTATGATGGGGTGCACTCACCAGCCACTGGAAAGGAAGGAATTAACTCAGCTCTGAAGGCGGAGAAAGCCATACTCCCTTAGATTTACTGGGCATGCTTGAGCCCAGATATAAAAGGGAGCAGCTCAGCTCAGAAGGAACTGGTGGCTGGAGGGAGAGGACCTACAGTGCCTACTCCAGGCAAACCATAGTGACTGTCCAAATGCTAAGGCACTACAACACAGGCTGAAGGCCACACATTCCCAGGATCCAGAGGCAAACAGGAGCAAACAAATCCCCAACAAGGGAGTGAGAGACAGAGATCAGCGCTGGAGCTGAAGTGACTGCAGCAGGAAGCAGCCCAGGGGAAAGCAACAGCTATCTGTTAAGTGAGCCAATGGAGGGGAGAGTATGGAGGGAGGGCCTGGACCCCCCTGCCAAGGGATATAACTGCCTCCCCTATCTCCTGTCCCTTGAGAAGGGACTATGCAATCCTGTGAGTTGGATAGAACTTATCAACTTTGGCCTTTGGGCCACACTACCCCATGAATAGGGGTGAGTTACTGACTCTTACATTGAACTGCACTGCCCTGTGAATAGGGACGAGTTATGGATTTTAGCCATTGGGCCACATTACTGACTCTTGCTACTGAGCTGCTCTGCCCTGCAGATAGGGGTGAGTTACTGACTATTGTTATTGAGCTGTGCTGCCTTATGAGTAGGGGCATGTTATTGAATATAGCTATTGGGCTGCACTACCCTATGAATAAGGGAGAATTACTGACTCTTGCTATTGGATTGCACTACACCATGAATAGGAGTGTGTCATCGGCTCTCGCTATTGTGTCCCCCATCCCCTAGTAATCGGGACAAATTTACTGACTCCAGCTATTGGGCCAACCGTGCCCCATGGATCAAGGTGGGTTTAATGACTTTGGTGGATAGGCCACTCACTCGTAGAATGGTGGGCAGAGCTATAGGCATGGATTGGGGAGAAAAAGCTCACAATTACACAGGAGCGCCAGAAGAGAGATAAGCACACTCACTCTGCACTGGGTGGGGATGTCCCCAACCATATCAAAGACACTTTTAAATATTCTTTCAGAATATGAAATGATGAATGGCAATTATATTTGGACCTAACATGCATTATTTTAATTCTGTGTCATGTATTAGACTAATGAATTGGGGTTTTTTTTGCTATCACTATCTTGCTTATCTTCAGCCATTGCCTAGCTATACTATTGGAAATAAATTGTTATGAGAAAAGTGATTTTCATATGTTGATTAAATAATGTCATTTTTTAGTTTGGGTTTGCACTGGTCACAAATTGTGAACTGTATTAAGGAAGAACATGTAGAGCAGGCAGAGAATATATTACTCTTTATAATAATTATAAATATGATACAATATCGCTATGTTACATTTAAATGTCTTTTAGAAAGCTCTTCTTAGTAAAAAAAAAATAGACTCCAAAAATTTAACTGAAAAAGAAATAAAAATGAAAAGTAATGACTGTACACTGAAATAATATTGAAAACAAATAAACTAGTGAGTACTTGAACATTTTCTACTTGCCAAAATTATTACATTATTTAAAAGGCTCTCCGTCAGACCCACGTATATATTTATATGCTGATATCTCTTTCTAAGCCTGAAAGTTGTGTAGTAGATTAAGCTACTGTGAAGCTACTTTAAAAGTACAGTGGGTCCAGTCTCCACAGAGCTCTGTTGCAGCCATCATGTTAAAAATCCTTCCTGCAGATACTTTCACAGCTTCAAGAACCTTCACATTTTATAACTAACAACATACTTGAATGCTGCCTATATTCAAATATTCAAAATATTATTTTTAATACTTTACAATAAAAATGAAAAAAATGACAGAATACCTCACTTAATAGGCTGTCTCCTCAAATAGAGAAACTAAAAGATGATTGGAAAGTTTTCATAATTCCTTCAAGAGCCTAAACCACCTTGCACTTAATTCCTATAGTGCATTCTTACTGAAGCTATATTGCTTTCTAACTTTCATACTGCATTTCAATAAAGAACTGGTTTTAAAGTTGTAAATACTTCCAAAGGGAATGTTTTGTAAAACAAAACATTTAAAATGAAGCATCTTGAGTTAAGCAGTTGCCCAAATGTAGGTATGTTGACAAGAAATGCAATGAAAACAGAGGGAACAAGGAAGAATTGTGTGTATAAGTAGAAGAAGAAGTCTAGTTAAGACAACTGTAGAATAAAAAACTTCTCAACCTTTTCCTGCTATTTTCTCATGTCTTTTGAGAGGAGCTGCTTTAAATAATGGATGGATATATTTAATAAGTATACCAAAATCATGCAAATACTTCATTTCAATTTTCTAAAGGGAAGACCCACAATGTAATAAGAAAAATACATGCTAGACAGCATATTTTCTGGGATAGCTACATATATTAGGGGATTGAAGGCACAGGATTTCTGGCCCCATACCCTCACCATATACTCAAGTTTCCAATAATCTCCTTGAAATGCACAACCTGTCATGTTTTATTGCTTAATTAGCTACTTGTCAAAAAGTGACACTATATACATTCACTGCTGGGTTTTTTCCCCCCACATGCTCACTTACTTTTTATTGGGATAATGAGCTGAGGAATGACAGGAAGAATCTTGTTTCCCCCATGTTCCAGCATGTCATGGATTCCTTGCCGAGCAAAAAACTCATAGGGAAATGTCATTTCACAAAGCCCATCAAAAAATAGAGGCAGATAGTGATGATAGTCCAGTTTCTCGATCTCCACCTGAGAATGCACACAGAAAAAACAAACAAACAAACAACCGCATGAGGGTGACTGATATATTTACGCAGAATGACCAGATGTCCTGATATTCTGGGTTTTATCTTATTGGCACCTATTACTCCATATCCCATCTTGGTTTTTCACACTTGCTAGCTGGTCACCCTAACTTCATGCCACATTCACAAAGGGTTTTAATAAGCAACTACAAAGTCAGTGTGTCACAGGAAAATATCACTGTCTCTCAACTTTGGTGTTTGGCATGATTCTGAAACTCTACACATTTCTGTTGTCCTTTGAATACATCCAAAGTTTGAGAGTAACTTGATGGAGCAATAACCTTACCATGTGGGGTATTATTTGGAGGGAGACAGTGTCCTCTAAAATAATGAGATTTTTCTGCCTTTCATTTCTTTCACCACTAAGAGGCCTGATTTTGCAGACTTTCCCTAGCCAAAGGGGACCAAAGACTACTGCCTCAAGTCTGTTAATGTCATTCTGAGCTGAGATAAGATAGATAAGAGCCACTTCATCAGTGATGCACTTGCTCTCCCCAGAGACTGAGCGACTTGCCTTCAAAGTGCTCCTAGATCCTACTGGCTCATGAAACAATAGACCGAGCTTGGGGCTATGTGATATTTTTACACATTAAATGATTGCTATTTCTTTGCTAACAGCTTCCAAAACTAATATTGGAAATGGAATTTCTATTTTGACAGAGTTTTTAAACAGGATATTTATCTACAGTTGTTTACAGTGCTGATGTAGCCATGTTGGTCCCTGGATGCGGGGGAGACAAGGTTGATGTAAGGTATGAATTTGAATTACACAGAGCTCAGAGACATTTATTTCCTTCCCAAACCTGAAGAACAGAAATTACATAACATTTCCACTCCAATGCATCTGACAAAGTGGGTCTTTGCTCACCAAAGCTTATGCCCAAATAAATAGGGCATGGCTACACTACGGGACAAGGTAGAATTAAGATATGCAAGTTCAGCTACATTAATTGGGTAGCTGAAGTTGAAGTAGCTTAACTCAACTTTTGGTGTTGCCCACGCTGCAGGAAGTCGAAGGGAGAACACTCTCACTTCTACTTCCCTTACTCCCTGTGGAAACAGGACTACCAGCATAGACCAGAGTGCTCCTCTCAGTACTAATTAGCATGTCTTCATTAGACCCACTAATTTGAACTCTGAACGATCAACAGCAACATCTTCGATCTTCTCTGCAATGTAGACATACCCTTAGTTCTTAAGATGTCACAAGACTCCTCATTGTTTTTATTAAGAAATAAGACGTTGATCTATCTATCCAAGATTATTTGATTGAGATCTTCACTCCCATTTGGCTCTAAACTCCTCAGTGGCTAAGGTTAGCACAACTTTAAAATAATTCTGTTTTCTGACTGATGGCCTCCCACAGTATGGAAGCCAGAAATGTTTTTGCATTAAATTCCGTGGTGAGAAACCTTTTGCTTTTGTGTTTATTATTTAGGTTTGAAAAGTGGCTATTATACATATGTTCTGAGAAAAATGCAATTTTTTTTGTTTATGCTCACAAATTCCTTTTTCTTTATACTTCCACCCACAAAAATATTCTGAATTAAAGCTGAGATTCTTGGCTGAACATGCTCAAAAACTGCCAGGAAACTGTTGCAATTTTGGGTTTCATGAAGAGTCTTACAATTGCTATTATAAACGTATATACTGGTGACTATGTATAAATTGTAAGGGCCAGATAGAAATAGATTCCAGTGGCAGCCTTACCTCTGCACATTCTAACTTTGGGTCAGGCTTTTAATAGTATTTTAATATATTCCAATAAAAAGTGACCACAGTTTAGAAACATCTGCAGTAAAAACTTGCTACATCATGGAATAGAGATGATGCTTGGACTATTTTACAAATGTAAGCTTTAAGGGGAAAATTCCAAATGAGAAGAAAACAACATAACTAGTTAAAAAGCAGTTTGTTGGCTCTTCAAGCCTTTAAATGAGGAAAGCAAGGCAATTGGACAGAACTCAAGGGACAGAAGTTTGGTAATGAACACCTGAATTGATATATAAATCATAGAACTTTTTCAATTTATCATACTTAATTTTTATACACTATAAAGCAACTCTGGCATTTAGAAACTACTCTTCCAGATATACAAAGAAGTAGGGCTTACATTCTCATATAGTTTAATAAAATCAATCTCAATTGATTACTTAATGTAATATCTTTTTGGATAACAATTGTCCATAAGTTGAATCTAATTTCCTGGAAACATCACACTAAATAGCATAGTAATTTTAGTTGCAAGTGAATGAGCTATATTTTATGTGTTCTTCAATGAATGTCTTCATCCAAACACTGGAGATGTTGGTCTGAAATTGACATTTTTCTAAGGGAGAAAATAACAGCTTTTAAGCTCTATTTTTTATTTATCAACTGCCAGGGTAGACAAAGTTCTAAACTAAAAAAAAACTTAACAACCAGACTATGTAATGCATGATAAAAATGAATGAGTTTCAGCAGAGATATCTAAAACTCCTTAAACAACCTGGGAGACTAAGGGAGATGCATGCACATTGCAACTGTAAATGTTGGCCAAAAACAGAGATGAGGGAGGATGAGTTTATTATGCCCCTGTTTCTAGGTCAGTTGATCAGATGGATATGTGTCTGCACAATTAATAGTTAAGTACTCTGAAAGGGGTCTGTTAAGGATGCTAGAGTGCAAATCTGTGAAATTGTACATTGTACCATTATGCAGGTGACAACTATATTGTACATCCTGTTTTATTATTTACACCATAGTTATCACTTTGACTTTTTTTCTTTACATTAGTTTTCTTTATATGAGGACTCTTTTCTTCTATTTCCCCTCTGTTTTACAGTACTTTCCCCTCCAGCTCTCCAAGGATTCCCCTAAACCAGGGGGCAGGCAAAATATGTCCTGAGATCCAAATGCACAATCTTGGCAGCACCCACTGGCCAGAAACTGGCACATGGGCCCAGCAGGCGGCTGCTGTGAGCAACACATGGGGCCACATAGGCAAGGAGCCTGCTTGAGGGTCCCACTGGGGTGCTGGATAGAAGCCATCTAGGATAAGCACCTCTCGTCCAGAGCCTGTACCTGGTACCTCTCCAACTCCCATCCCCCAACTCCCTGCCCCAGGTCACTACCTAAACCCACTGAACCCCTTCCTGAACCTTTACCTCATGTCAAAACTCTCTCCCAGACTCTGCACGCCCTGCTAAACCTGTCCCCCAGCTCAGAATCCTCTCCTGCACCCATATGCCTTCCTGGACCTTGTACACTAATCCCTGTCCCTGATCACAACCCTCTCTTCCTTATATTACATTAAAGTGGCAAATATTTCCCCTTTCCACAGGATTAAATCTCACTCCTTTTCAATTATAGTATTTGTTTGCTGATGTTTGTTTTAACTGAAATGGGAATTGTGGTGCTTGTGAATGAAGTTTGGACTTTTCCAAAAGTCAAAGAAGAGGACACATGGAAACACTATAATTTTCATGCTCCTTTTCTGATTTTTTCCAAGCTCCCAGAAAAATTCTGACTGTGAAAAAGACAGAGCATGTGACTTTTCAAGGGCTTTAATTTCTTAATGGGAGTAGGTTTGGACTTATAATGGGATGCCAGCATTATCCTCATCCATGGAATGGCTATTGCTGACCCTCACTATCTTTCTACTAGAGGGCAAATGCAATTTCAGATATACAGTAAAACTCCATTAGTCCGGCATCCAATGCTCTGGGACTTCTGATGGACCGGCTTCCCCCATTCAGCTGCTGCTGAAACTGACCAGAAGCTGAATCGGGGAAGCCGGGAGCAGAGCAGCTGGGGTACTGCCGGTTGGTCCCGTAGCGCTGCCCCTCGGGGCTGCGGGACCAACCCGACAGCACCCCAGCTGCTCTTGGGGACGCCTGGGGCAGAGACCAACCCCACAGCACCCCAGCTGCTCTGCCCCAGGCGTCCGGATTCAGCCTGCTGGTGAAACTGATGCTGCTGGTCAGTTTCAGCAACG